TTCTAGGGGGAAAGGGGGGGGGGGGGAGCATATAAAAGAGGAAACGTAAACGCGCAGTTTCGGGGGGCAGTGGGGGCGAGCAGCATTCACACACACAAATATATAAAAAAATATACATAAATATGTACCCTTATAACCCTTTCCCTTAGTAACTCCAATCACATCGATCATCTCATCAGAAGCAAATACGTTATTGATGGGCACAGGTTTTTCCAGATGTTCGCGCGCCCATTGCACCTTGTCTTCAATAGTTCCACCATTCAATTGGATCTCCATGATGTGAGCTTTCTTTTGACGTTGCCTTAACAACTTCATCTAAGGGAGTAACAATAGAGGGATAAAATTAATTTGTTCTACAATTATACAAGAATAATGGTATCTGATAATTTAATATTCAAGTTGCATTATCGCATTACCTGAGTATGAGCAATAATGCGAACAACGCTGCAATACTTTTTAATTTTCTTTATATCAGCTTCAATAGACTTGCGGCCAAGGTCGTCTTGCCATTTCTTCGAAGCTTTTGTAAATGCCTTCTTCTTACTCTTGTACCTGTCGAAAAATCAATTGCAAAGCCCATCTGTGTATGTCTGCATATGCTGCCACCTGTATACTCCTGTAACGTGTCAGTCTCGTCATAATGAGCGGAGACTGAGCACATTTCTTGGACCAACCGTGTTCAAATTTAGAGGTTTAAAACGGCTACATCCAAATGATTGCTCTCATCATGTGAGCGGAGAGCTAATATAGCATTACTTTTAGTATCATGTAATAACAATATGCTTGTGTTTTCTTAAGAATAAAAGAACTGTACTAGACATGGTTTGTCTCAATGATCACTGCCCAATGGGCTCCAAAGAGAATATGGAATATGTCTTGCTGTCATGCATTCTGCGCAAGCAGAGCACGACATTGCTCTTCGACATGGCAGTTTTGAGAACATACTGCATTAAAGGCAACTCTCGCACTGCAATCCGAACGAATCGACGCATTTGCATCGATCAACATTCGGATTAACATGTCGTAAACTCGTATATGTAGTTTTAACATCAATATATAAATATGTATTATTTTTTGATCTAAATTCTATCATCTTTAATTCATACAACATAAATGATTCCTACTAACCAGTTTTTGTAGAAACGTCTGCGACAATCCTCCGACAAATGTTCCGCCCAAACAGTAGCGAGTGCTCTAAGTCCATGTGGTGTTTCAATGTATCCAACAAGACCAACTATGATCATTGGCGGTGTTTCAAGGATAGTAACCGCTTCTACAATTTCCTTCTTATTTACCTCTGAAATTAAATAATTGATATTTATAAATGGTAAATAGTTTGTACAAAATAATACAAAAAAAGATACTGATTTTAGAAATGGACTGTGCTAGGTATGGTTTGTCTCAATGGTCACTGCCCAATGGGCTCCAAAGAATTTATGGAATATACCTCGCCTTCATGCATTCTGCGTAAGCAGTGCGCAAAATTATTTTTCGACATGGCAATATTGAAAATATACTGTATTAAAGACAGCTCTCGCATTGCAACCTAAGTGAATCAATGCATTTCTGCATCGATCAACACCCAGATTAACATATCGTATGATATTGTATATAGATTACATTAAATGTAAAGAATCCTCAATACAATCCACTTAAATAAAATTTTAGTATTCTTTAACATTTTGCTCAAATTATATATAACATTAATTAGGTTTCTTTCTATAATAATTACTCACTCGATCCAGGACGATCGGCTTCTCTAACAACGTGAGTCATACCGGCTTTATAGCCGATAAAAGCCGTCAAGTGAACAGGCTTATTGGGATCATCCTTTGGGAAAGCTTTCACCTTTCCGCGATGTCTTTGAGATCTCTTCTTCGGGTAGAAACCCATCGACCCGTGTCGAGGGGCGCTGAATTTTCGATGCGACTGTAACAAACCAAGATGGAGAAATGTGAGACACGTGGTATAAACGTAATAAGGTTTTTTTCCAACAAAGAGAAAATCAGACCGCCCTAGAATAATTTCGTCACGGTTATTCAGTAGAAAACCATAAACTTTATAATCTAAATCATCATTAGAATAATTGGAATTGTTGCGAAGCGGGTGTTGAAGAAGCCATGTGTACGCAAAAGCTGGCTACACGCTGCCTCCTCATTACGAAAAACGGAAACGTTAAAATTTTGATATTAATTGAAACGTCGCCGTAATATTTGTTTTAAAGTTTGAAGAATATATTTGAGAGTACGATTGTACATTATAACACTACCGATGCTGAAAAAATGTTGCAGATTTTAATAGATTATCGAGCGCACGTCCAACTTACCATGTTGCTGTTGACGAAGAAAATGGAGGAACACGGAAGAAGACGCCTACTTTTATACCCAGCTAAGTCCTTGATATAAACTTTGGAAACTTGAATTCCCTATTATGGAGTTTTTTTTCTTTCTAAGAAGTCTATGCATTTTGTACGTCTATGGTTGGACATTAAAAATGGCGGAGCCAATCAGCAGCGGCGTTACACTAGTCGTGCTTTTCATAAATATAAGACTCTATGATCTGGTCCTGATTGGTTGATCAAACACTTTAAAATATTTCGTAACGTCAAATAGAGTAGCGCTCTTTCAAAGAGTTGCGCGTTTGATTGTAAAACGTGTAATCTACATACGTATTGACGCGGTGCTACATTACTACATATATATTTATTATTACACATTATACGTCTATATTCTCGGCGCATCTTGAGATTTGAGATCAGTCTCGGAACTCGCTCGGATTACGACGTGGCGAGCACCATTTTGCTTTTACTCAACTCTTTTTAACCTGCCTGCCATTTTGCGCGATCTTTGAGCCTGTCAGTGACTGAGTATTTGACAGCGGTGCCCGCGGTCATATGTGAATTCATCGTTGTCGCGATTGATCGCGATCGACGTGTGACGTGTGGCTTGTTGGACGAAACTGCGGCCCCGGATGCGCGTGGTCGAAATACGAAATAGGTACGGAGTTAACGATTTCCGTTTAAGCATTTTTCGCTCGCTGCTACTGCGGCTCCAATTTTTCTACGCGTCTGCTACGGAGATCTTGCTCATCGACAGCTAGTGTGATTCATATAACACGGATGACACTTGCGTTGTCATTATATTTCATCCGCGAGTGCTTGCTCAAGATCTGTCTACTTCGAAATATTCAAAGCGCATGTTTATCTTTCGACGTGTTTTTACTTTTCGATTCTTTCAACTTGACAAATACTCACTCGTGCGAAGAGAAATCTGAGCGGAATCCGAATAGAATGTATTTTTGACGTGCTTTTAGAACTAAAGGCTCGAGGACACTAATCTGTACGTACCATATATGAGCGTGCATAGCATCAAAGATATTTGAGCAAGAATAACGATATATTGTCTAAATGTTGTACCCTTTTTTATATCTTTATTTTGTGTTCTCTTGATTACAAAATTTTCTTACATTCTTGCTTTTTTGCAGAATGTTAGTGTGAGCGATTGTATCTGTATCATTTTGGAACAGTCAAAGAT